GACTCAACACATTGGAAGTCAATGCACTGTAATGCAATCCAGGGAAGTACGATCTTGCCCACCTAGCTTAACCTACTTCCTCAAGATATTGAGCGGTGTTAGGTAGACTGTGCCGTATCAAATCCATTGTAGCTTCAAAGTCTGACATCCTATAAGCTTTGCATGCCTCTCAGAACATCCACCATTTTCTTTTGTTTCTACTGGAGATTAGGCGTAAGTTCTGGCTTATATGCCAACAACAAAGTTCGTGGTCCGCGTTGGGGAATACAGTTCCTATGGCCAACTCGATAAAGGCAGCCCTATTGGGTATGAAGTTTAAATTAGGCCTTTCACCAATACATTGCCTCAAATTATGTAAAAACCATGTCCATGACGGACCACTTTCTGTCTTCCCCACTCCCATTTCAATAGGTACGATCCTGTTGTTCCAATCCATGCCGACCACTAAGAACATGGTGCCCATGTATGGCCCTTTCAGATGGGCACTGTTCATTACAAGGAGTGGTCTTATTTGTCCTAGAAACGAGTGAATTTGCAGATGAACGAGGTTACAAATATAAATTTCAAAACATAAAATTATGACAATAATTCAAAAACATAACAAAAATTATTACCGAACAACCGAGTGTGACAAACAACATGTCGAATCATCCTCGTCCATCAACAACAATATCTGTCACAGTCCCCAGATTTGCTATCTTCAGATTGTGACAAAAAACCGGGAGTAGTTTAAACGACGATTCAGGGGTCCCCCTCAATAATTGCAAGACATACATCTTTACTCTTCATGCTTGGCTGTAGGAGATGCTAATTTTGAACCGTTGGGTTCACATCTTCCATGATTTATTTTTCATGGTACACTCTCCTACAATCCTTTAAACTCCCTGTCAATATATGACCCAAAACCTTTTTATGCACATTACGGTGGTTTGGGTGGACTTGGGACCTTGAACATGTGTGTCCATCATGCAATTTTCGTATCTGAAACATACTAGTACCATCGATAAGAACAACCACTAAATGACAATCATAGTCCGAAACAGAGTGACACACTGTCTTGTACCGGTATTTGGTTGATTTCTTAACCTTGATCTGGAAGTTTTTATAAACGAATTTTAACCACAATGCGAGCTTCAGCGCTTCCTTCGAGTCAAAAATTTGGAGAACTTTTACATAGGATGTAGGCTGGTAGGAAATGTTTCTCTGTCTAGGTTTGATAACAGGGTCTGGGCAAGGTGTAGGGTCGAGCATACCCCAACAACTATTCCTTGCCGGCCGGATTTCTTCAGCATCGGAGTTATCGTGTTCGCGTATATTCAAAATTTCTGTTGCAACATAAACATCTTCATCTATATCTACCTCCCACAAAATTTTTTGACTGTTCCGGAGACTGGTTCAAATCTTGAATCAAATAACTGTCATGATAAATAGGATTTTTTGGTTCAAAATATAAATTTCCACCAACACCAGTAGGGAAAAAAGTACTTCGATATCCACCACTGCCACCACTAGGGAAGAAAGTGCATGGATTTCCACCACTACCACCACCGGGGTAAAAAGTGTTTGGACCATATGGGTTTGCACTACTACTGCCGGGGAAGAACATGCTTGGATTTCCACCACTACCACCACCGGGGTAAAAGGTGTTTGGACCACTTGGCAAACTTTGATGGATTACGACACTTGATGGATTTCCACCATAACCACAATCGTCGATAACAAAGAGTGTCAACATTTCCGATAAACTTTGATGAACAACATTCTGGAACATTAGCACATCGTTGTTGTCGCTTAACTGATATAATATTTGTAAGGAATTCATTTTATAAAATAACATGAAAGAACCACATATACTTAACTTTTTCTTAACATATTTTACCACACCAGAATGCGTTATTGGCGAAGGCAAATGTAATGCACGTATGGGGATCTTAATGGAAGGTACTCAAAGGCACCATTAATCTCCTGAATGAATCGCCACTTTGAAGATACACCAAAACATCATCACTTTAATGTGATTTCATATTTGTGTTTAAGGGTGAAGGATTGTAATGGTATATTGTGTTTAATGGGTTAAGGGTTAAGGATTGTGATGGTAAATTGTGTTTAAGGGTTGTGAGAGTAGAAGATATGAGAATAGAAGCCAGAAATGAGGTGTGAAGATAAATAATTGATGCACTAAAAGACGAAATATGAGTCAACAAGAAATAGGTTGGATCGTCCTCGGGGGAAGATCCAGGATTAGGTGGGGGTGATCCCACTTTTCAAAGCAAACAATGTTTTGTCTCCTAAATCAGATACATGTGGGCCCCACAAATTAATTAAAAAAAAAAATTTTGGACTTTTTTGGTCAAAGAAGGAAGATCCCCATGGTCAAACACACCCTCGGGGCGATCCTCTTGGTTTTTTTGGTAAATCTTGAAAAAATAGCTATTTTGTTAAAATATCACGTATATTTTTGCTATTTTGGTGAAATTCCCTACATTTTATCCTTTTTCAGACCGTATTTCTTGTGGGATATAGTTCTGTAAATCGTTTTGCATGCAATAGGTCCAAGGGAAATAAGAAACAATTAAGATATAAATGAAGGAAATATGATACCTTGAAGAACCATGGAGGAGATATTAATTATATAAAGCCACAACATCTTCACCAGCACTAATGATTGTCTTGTTCAAAGGTCCCAAACCGCTCTACTGATCCTTTCTTGAGGACCCTTAAGTATTAGTACAGAATCACCAACCTCTAATAAGTTACAACAATTAGAATGTAAACTATTTTAACTATAAAACCAATGAAATGCATTATAAAAGAGATTAAAGTTGCTTTCTCTCATGTCACATACAGAAAGAGTAAGAAAACTTTCGAAGTTGTTTCACACAATAAATAACAACAGTAAAGATAACTGCATCCACACATATGAAGAATATCGACCAATTTCAAACTAAAATAAAAATAATTTTCAGCTCATATACATTTAGCACAAGAAATCGAGCAAGCAGAAAGTTATGTGTGCAACTAGTGAAGCATTGCAAATGTTGTTTTCTATTGTAAGAGTATTGAAGTGAAAGTGCTACAAGTTGTAAGCATATATTACCAGCTTCATCCTACTGGATGGTTTTTCCTGAATGCATCTTTTCCTAACCAGCATCCATGGTAGTCCTAGAAACAGTCTTTTATTAGTAAACTGTAAGGCACACCATTTGTTCACTCCTTTACCATCATCACTGGCCATCTCAAACACCATGTTTCATCTGTCAATCGCAACCTTATGAAAAAAAAATCAGCAAATGCTTTATATATAATTCTACCACTACTAGAAATATGACTTTTTTCGGCAAAAATCCGCGTGAAAATTACGGGCGGCAATTAAAAAAGTCAAATTCGGTTGACTTCCGCTGGTAATCCGCCACTAAATATTGTTAAAAAAAGTTATTCCGGCAATATTTCAGGTGGCAAGTCTAGAAGCCACCGGTAAATTCGCCAGAAATGTGATTTAAGCCAAATCCGTGGTAACTCTGTTTTCCGGTGGATTTGGCCACCGAAAATAGTCCCTTGTTTGGTAGTGTTTTCTACAATGTCCAGAAAATCTCTGATGTCAATCCTTCCTTAACCATTCTTAAGTTAAAATTGATTATACAAGGTTGGGGCAATGCATTATACGAAGGCCATAAATTCCATTTTAAAGAAACTATACATATAGAAATTCTATGGACTTTATTTAAAAAGAATGAGCTATATTAAGCATCAAGTGTAGATTATGTATATGTTTTGGAAGATCCTATCCAATGCCAATTAAGTAGTTAGAACTTAGAAGTAATACCCTAAAATCAAACCTATTTGATGGAAAAAAAATATGGGAACGACGAGACTTTTCTTTACCTTTTACTCACAATTTACCGAATGCTCAATACGAATAATTATTTAGTTTAATCATAGATATTATAACCAACTAAAGATGCAATTTAGATGCTTTATTAGTTCGAATGACTATAGGAGCACTCCTATATGTGACAAACAAATGCAAGGCTTAAATACCTCGAAGAGATGAAGACATATTGAACTCGAAAACTACTCAAAAACGAAATCGAAGGTAGAAATCAAGGGAAATCAAAGAGAAATCGAAAGGAAATAAATGAAATCGTAGAAGTCTCGTATAATCAACATTTTTCCCAATATTCTTATCATATAATTTTGATTCAATGAAATTAAAAACCCTTTAAATACGGTTTTAAAAATTACAGAAGTGTAAATAAAATGTTTTATTTAATTTAAAAATAAAATTAAAAATATTTTATTCTTTAGAGATGGTTTAACAAGGTCCCTAAGTTAGCATTTGGTATACAAGTATGATTGGACAGGACTGTATAGTATAGAACTGGATAAGACAAGGGTAGGACTGGACGGGAGAAGAATGGATAGAACAAATGATTGTCGGTGTTTGGTATGACTAGGATTGAATGAGTCAGAACTAGAATAGTTGCCACCAAAAGTTATTTGATAATTTTAAATATTATATAAAAGTTATAATTAACACAAATAAAGTAAAAAAATTAAAGAATTTAATTTATAAATATTTTTACACAATTTTTATATTAATAAATACATACATATATAATGGTACCAAATTTGAATGAAAATTTTTGGAGGTGATGGTGGAGGTGGTGTTGGTTATGGTGGAGGTGGTGATAGTCGAAGGTGGTAGTGGCGATGGGTGGTGGTGGTCGGTGGCCGAAGGTGGTTGGTGGATGACGGTTCTGAAGGACGTGAAGATGGTGGATTATGGTGATGGTGGCGGTTGACAATGGTGGAGGATGTAGTTGTGGCCAATGTAGTGAAGATGGTGATGGTGGTTATGGTGGAGGTAAGGTGGCAATGGATGGTGGTGGTCGGTTGTTGACGGTGGTTGTGGAGGTCGTGGAAGAGATTGTTGCAGTAGAGGAGTGGTGGTGGAAATGGACGGTGGTGGTCAGTGGCCGATGGTGGTTGTAGAGGTGGCAATGGACACCGGTGGGCGGTGGTTGACGGTGGTTGTGGAGGTCATGGAGGAGGTTGTTGCGGTAGATAAGGAGTTGGAGGTGGCCAACGATGGTATTGTTGGTTGCAATAGATGGTGGCGGTCGGTGGCCGATGGTGGTTGTAGAGGTAACAATGGACGTTGGTGGTCGGTGGCCGATGGTGGTTGTAGAGTTTCCAATGGACAGTGGTAGTTGGTGGTTGACAAGATTGTTTTAGTAAAGGAGTTGGAGGTGGCCAATGGCGATAGTGGTGGTGGCATTGGACGGTGGTGGTCAATGATCGACATTGGTAGAAGTGGCGATCGATGGTGGTCGTGGACGCAATGGGGGATGTTGTTGTAGTGGAAGAGGAGGTGGAGGTGGACGTGGCCGATGAGGATCGCCGGTGGTCGTGGCGGCCGAAACTAGCAGTGATGAACATTAACACAATATATTAAAGTTATATATCAAATTAGAATAGATTAGTATTATTTTAGTTTCTATCTCATTCTTGTCCCATCTTATTCCACCTATTTTGGTGGAACAAGAAAAAGCCTATTTTGTCCATGTTGTCCCACCTTGTCCCAGTTCTTGTCCTTATCCCATGTCGAGTCAAACGTGAGACAGTGAGTTTTATCTCGTTCTATCCTATCCCACCCCATATATCAAAAGCAGCCTAAAGTTTTGATTCAATTTTACATAAAAATTGTCTGTAAAAAGTTTAGGGAGGATTTTTAGAACGTATCATTTTGTTCATAATCCTTCTATGAAAGTCATCCTACCTTTTGTTACATTTTTCACCTTTCTCATATTGTTACTTTCTTAAAGGTCATATTTAGATACACTTCAAAATCCTTTTCTAAAATCTCCTTTGCTAAAATCCCTTTTTAATATAATTATATAGAGTAAAAAGACAAGTTTATGAACATTTTAACATTGACCACTCCACTAATCCACCTCCAAGCGTTTACTATAAAATTTTAACATGGGTCACTCCGTGATGATTAATCCACCATTCTTATCCATAAAACATAGGCCCATTAGCGCATACAACTCAACTCCTCTGATATGGTAATTCCTGTATCTAGTAAGGCATTGTTTGTTAAACGAAAGATCGTATGAGAATATGAGTTAAAATAAGAAACGTAAGAAGTAATCTACATATTTGATAACTTTTAATCTCATCCCACCCTATGAATTTCACTTGATATGTGAATTGATTTGGTGCATCTCAATTCATCTCATTGCTATTGATCTTCGATCAATAGTGATCAAATGGTGGAAATCCCTTCTTACCCTTCTCAATGTAACTTTCATTCTCACCCGAACTCAACCTTTGTTAGCTTTAATCTTTTTTGAAAAGCTATGTTGATTAGCTAGCTTATCGATACGCTACTAGGAGTAGTGTTCCAATAAGTTATGAGAGCTTTTTGCCACTTTCTCATTTTTCCAGTTTTGGTTTCGACAAACATAATACCACGACCCAAGATACTGATAAGGGTGAACATGGTATGATACCATATTCTTTTATACTTACTGATCGACTATTGCTGATATAGAAAATCATATACCATGTACCAACGAACTTTTCTAACAAGTATTTTCGATTAGTACATGTTGGTATCGGTTAAGTGCCAATATTGCAAGCATGTAAATTTGAGTAAAAAATATAAGCTAAAAACATATTATACTAAATAACTTTCGACCACAAATAAATCGTCTTAAACTAAAATAAGCTTCAAGTATTAAAATAATTTCGTAAGTATATAAATAGATGGGGTGCAAACGGTTAAAAACATGAAACAATTACATACGCAACACCTAGGCGTATGCATTTCCATGAGATAGGAAATTTCGAAGGAGAGATGCAAAATATCAAGATCAAAGTTATAATGTTCGATAGTAGAGTGATATAGATGAATGTTGCATCATATAGATGAATGTATAAATTTCTCGCATCATTTCGTGAAACAACTCTATTTCCTCGCAAAAGACCGGTGCGAGTACCCCAGCTCATCACATCATATGGGTGCGATAAATCAATCTTGTCACATCAAACCAGTGAGACAAACATACTTCTTGCATCAGAAGGATGCAACAACAGTTTACAGATGTGACAACAGTTTACAAATGTGACAACAGTTTATCGCATCAATAGGATAAAATACTTTAAGTCATCACATCACACAGATGTGACAACTCCAAGTCATCGCATCAGAAGGATGCAATAACAGTTTACAATTTGATCAAAAACCTAGATTTTAGAACTCGATGATTATGCCACCCTTATCCCGATATATAACTCTCATTGATATGCCACCCTTATCCTAATGTAGGAACCCAGATCCTCAAATGCACTAGTAATCACAGCTTAAGTCAACAAGTGAGCGGAAACAATAACTATGAAACTAGCAGGTTATGCAAAAATGATAAAGACACATAAATCTTTAAAGAATTGATCAAGTCGGATGTATTTGATACTAGTGAGATTACACCAAGAACACACAGTTGTGTGTTTACAAAATATCTCTCAACTAGTCTATTTCTCACAAGTGTGAATTTCTCTCTTAAAATTATGGAAGGTGCGCATCTTCTTTCTATCAAGATTGCTCAAAAATGACCTTAGAGGAATACCCTTTTATAGGCATTTCCAGAAAAGGAATCTTCCATAAATTAGGAATTAGGAGAAGTCAACGCGTCTAGCAATCATCTGCCTCCACGTGTCTGATTGAAGTAACCATTTCTGGATTCGTGTCGGCCTGATACTGGAGCACTTGTAAGACGGGCCGTTGAATCTTCATGCATAAGGGAGAGTTGGAGACCCAGAGGCTCTTCATGTATAGTTCAGAGGCTCTGTATCTGGACTTGAGCTCTGTATCGAAGACTTGGATTTTTGACGCACATATCTTCGTTCTTCATCCCTCTGCGATGAGCTCTATGTCTGACTATCATCTATGTATCCGAGCTCTTGGTTCTGGACAACTTTCAGACTAAGCAATCTTGACTAGACCAAGAGACTTTTTACTTACACTTTTCAAAATAAACATTCTAACAATCTCCCCTTAAGTGTAATAAAAAGATTTGATGGAATTAAAATCTAGTCTTGAAAGCAAGAGGCCAATATGGTCCTCTGTAAGATAACTATATTTTAAATGAAAACTTTAAGTACAAAGCAAAAACAGTTATTGATAGAAGCCTAGAAATATTGAAGTTTCATGAATCTCCTAAGTAGCTCACGAAATTCTAGTACACCATCAATTGAGTGTATAAGTTTAGAGGCTCTATCTTTTCCAGAGGGGTCTTGGTCTCCCTCTCGAAGAACATGATTCTTGATCCAGTGCAGAGTAGCATTTGAGTACTTGAATCTTTGGTCTGCTCTGAATAATACTTTTTGTTTTAGCTCATTTCGAAAGACAACACCCAGTTCTGGCTCTACAATGACTGTCCAAGAAGGGATGAACTTTATGCCTTCTAGATCTTCATTTTGTGTAGTGGCAGCTATTTGAAAGTCCACCTTGCTTATAAACTCCAACATATCCGTCATCGTTTGTTGTATAGCAGAGGTGGCCAGCACGAAATTGATCCCTTTATCCCTGTTGTGGTCTGTATGGAAGTACAGAGTGAGAAGATCCCAAGGGTTCAGATTTATGAGATCCCAGTCAGTTAATACACTTATTTTCCCCTGATATCATTCCACCATGTATTGATGAAAAATGATCTGGTTGTGGGAGAATGTCCTCTTCTTGATGTCGAGTACCTGCTTCATCCTATCACATAAGTGAACTTTACGCAAGGGCAGAGTATATTAACGATTGAACCTCTGCCTTACGTGTTCATGGGCCATAAAATGTTGGTTGATCTTCATTCGCGGCACCTCTTCTCTGTCTCTGTATAGGAACTGATAAATCTTTTCATTAGCAATTGGGTCTTCAATAACTTTGTTCTTGGGAAGAGGCCTAATCATTGCATCCATCTGATCCCTAATTTCTTGGATCTCTAAGGTCTGCTCCTACTGGCTTCTTATTGATGGGGATTATGTGGTTTTTATTTTGAAGCTTGGTGCAGAAGTCAGCTTGGCTCTGGAGCAGGAACAGTTGGTGCAGACACAGACGTAGGGGTGAGTCTTGTTAGATTCACCGATTTTGCAACAAGAGGTTCATCCTCAAACTCTGATTCTATAACTTTTACAACCACTTCCTCTTTGTATTTTTCGAGTTGAGGTAGAGCTTCCTCCATTAAAGGTTCAGATGATGATGATGAAGAGGCATAGGCATGAGTAAGAAGCTTCAATGATGAGTCCATTTCTTCACCAAGGATGGTTGCAGAGGCAGGCTCTGGTTCATCTTGAGGTTATTGTGAAGGATCAGGCTTTGGATGTGATTCATGGACATGCATAGAGGAGGTGGAGGCAACTTGAGTTGTGTTCTGTTGAGAGCTCTCCCCCTTTTGATGGTCTCGAGGACCAGATTCACCTGGATCCTCTAGATCATCGAACCTTCTCCGTCGCTTTGAGATTTCTACACATGGCGCTCTTGCTTCCTCATTCTCCTTTTCCTCTTCCTTTTGAGGTCAGTTGGTGGCATCTGCTTCACCTTCTCATCAAACAGCTCTATAATATCTACTGTTGCTTGAGTGGCTTTGGTGCTCTCCACATCAACTCTAAACTTGAATGCTTCTAGAGATCAACGCATCTCTGCAGCTGTGGTCTTTGTTGTAGATTCGAATTCAAAAGTGAATGTAGAGACCTTCTACAGTAATTTATGACCCAACATCACCATGTCTCTCATTATAATGTAGTTAGCAAGAGCACCTATGGGAATCAAGGCTTGTTCAATGATCTTTACCATGCTTCTGTGAACCATTGGATTTCGTCCACAGAGACTGGTGTGACTTTTGCCTTCGACTCCTCTCTGTGGATATAATCAAGAACCCTTTGCAGGGATGCATTTGTGCTTGTTTTCAATTCCAATTGGTGTTCGAGTAAAGTAGCATTCATCAAAGACTTAACATTCCAGTTGACGTCCTGCACAAGGAAACAATTTAAGAATGCTATTGGTACCCAGTTATTGGGGTCCAGCGTTGTTAAAGGCATCATCCACTGGTGCTGAGGAATCAGTATGAACATATGGCATCACTAAACCTGAAGAG